TGCCAACGTGAAGGGCCTTCCCCAGCGCTATCATCTTGCTGCATCTGCTGCTTGGAAGCCTGCCTGGAGAGAGCCTCGCTGCAGACATCGATTGGTGCACGGCAGGGGCAATATTTCACTCCGCACGGGAGCAGTCACTGACGGTTATCGTGGGGCATTAACACGTGTCCTGAAATCGCCGTGATTTGCGGCAAAAGGCGACCTTTGGGCGCGCAGACCTTGCAGCACGTAGCGTGTGTGTGGCGCGCGGCACGGCGGGCGCGGGGCACGGCGAGCTGCCCCTGCCATGGCCCCGAGCTCGCTCCCTGGGGAAGCGGTGGGAGCTCTGTCCCTGCCCTCAGGAGCGCTGGACCAGCGCCAGCTTTTCCTTCACAGGACTAATTAGCCCATGGGGTGAACGAGCGAGTGGATTGGTACCAAACTAAAAACCTGAGCAGGCGCTGGGAGCCGGGAGGAGGCTGTGGCTCCGAGCACGCCGGTCAGCAGCCCGCTGGGGAGGGGATTTCTCTGGTTCGTGATTTCAGGCAGGCGTCTGACTGCGCGCCCGCACCCGCTGCCCTCAGGTTGAGTTCCCCTTGTGGTCTCCCAGCACCTTCGGGCTGTGGGCGCGCTCCCGGTGGGGCCGTGCCAGTCCCGGACCCCGCGGGCACCCAGCCCCTGCGGCTGGGGTGACTCAGGGCCCCCCCGTGCTGCTGGGGAACCGAAGCCATGTGTTTATCATGGAAAAACTGCTCTTTGCTGCAATTCAAACGGAAACTTCCCAGAATGACTGTTTCAGAGCTTTCCCCTTGAATCACCGCAGCTCCAAAGAGCAGCTTTCGAAGATGATGCCCTCAGGAAGGCTTCTGGTGGCCTTGGCCATGCCGTGGTGTGACCGAGACCCACCCCAACCTCTTTTTGGGCCCGCTGCTACCGGAGCATCTCTGCCCAGTGCGGCCGGGCTGCTGCTGCTGGCACTGCTGGGGGAACGGGGCCGGGATGCGGGAACCCCTGGGGACCTCGGGCTGGGGCGCCGTGCCTGGCTTTGGGGCTGCAGGGCACAGCGGGAGCTCGCACCGGGAGGGACGGGTGCGTGACCAGCGGGGAGGGACGGGGGCCGTGACGGCAGCACCTCACGAGGGCCGTGCGCTCCTTTTCCCTGCCCGCTGGCTGCCCGTCACCCTTTCCATGGTTTAAGCGAGCGTCCAAAGGTCACGGCAAACGCAGCCTCTGCCCAGCGGCTCACGTCCTCGAATGAATAAGCAGTGGGTGTGCAGCGCCTGAGTCAAACCTCCCCTGCTGCACCCGCCGAGCGCCTCCCATCACGTGCGAGCCGGGCTGCAGGCCACGGGGCTGCCTCCCCGGCACGAGCAGAGCCCCGAGGGATGCTCGCCCCGAGGGATGCTCGCCCCTGGGGGCACCCCGGCCCCGCTGCTTCTCCCTCGGGGTGTTTGGGGAGGCGCAGCCCCAGCTGTGGGTATTGCTCTGAGTGGTGGTGGGGTGGGGAAAGACGCGAGCCGTCCGTGGCGCAGGGGCCACGCAGCTGGGCCGGTGATGGGGCACAAGGGCAGGTTGTCACGCCTGGGTTATTTCCTCCGCCGGTGCCTACGCAAAGCTGCCGCTGTGTTTTCTGCATTTACTCATTTTGCTCCATTCCAGGTGTTCTGCGGTGCTTGTCCCTGGAGCAGCAGAGCAGCCCGTGCCTTGCTGTGGCACTGCGACACCCCCGGGGCTGCTGGAGGGAAACTGAGGCACCGCGGGGCCCAGATCCCACAGGCATTCGGTGTGCTCTGCTCCTGGGGCTCGGCACATTCTCCAAGGTCGTGCGGACACGCAGAGGCTGCAGGGCTGAGCGTGTCCCCCTGCAGAGATCTGCCCCAAACTGCCCTGAGCCTGCCGGAGCCGCGGCCCCGCTGCACCCAGCGTGCCGGCAGCCGTTCCGAGCATCCCCTCCAGCAGCACCTGTGGGACTCTCCCTCCCCTGGGGGCCCCATCCAGCCGGTTTGGGCGCTCGTTTTGGGTGCTCGTCCCTCTCTGGTGGCTTTGCCCCAGGGTGAAGGCAGCTGGGGACAGGACTGGCACCCCAGGCAGGTGTCGGGGCCGGTGCCTGGGGGGACCCCGCTGATCCCCACGTTCGCTCCGGTGAGGCCGGGCGCTGCCGTGCGCGTGGCCAGCACGAGCTGCAGCGGCTGCGTGGCGGTGAGGCACCGACCACAGGGGGGTTTCCAGCTGCAGCCGGGCTCTGGCAAACACCTGGCTGGGCACTTGAGGCCAGGAGGCGTTCGCAATGGTTTGAACCCAGGAGTGAGGCGAAGGCGTTTCTGAGGAGGGAGATGGAGATCTCCGTGCGGATCCTGGAGCCGCTCAGAAGAAAGATGAGTCAAAGGATTACTGAAATGATTACAGCTGCGAGGGACGGCAGCACCGGCACAGCCACCGTCAGCAGAACTGCCAGGCTGCCTCGGACAGCTGCGAGCGCTTGCAGGTTAATAAGACATATTAGGCAATTTCCCATTAAAAATGTTTATGTGAACGTGTAAATATTCATTTAGACGGAACTCGCCTGGCCCTCTGCACACGGAGCGGTGTCGGGAAGGACGGGAATTGCTGTAAATCTATCAGAAAGCTCATGACTGGAGTTGCCCTCACTGTCCCGCAGCAGCCCCGCGGGGCTGAGCTCGGCTCCTGGCAGCGCCCGCCCTGCGCTCCCCGCCGGGCTGCTCGGGGCCGCCGCGGGACCTGCGCCACGTCCCTCCCTGCTGCAGCTGGCGGAGGGCAGGGTTTTCCCTGGTGTGATTTCCCAATGGCCACAGGAAGAGCAAGCACAGACCCGAGCTGGATTAAATCAAAGGAAATTTTTTTTTTTTTTTTTCATTTGCTGTCTTACGCGCTGACCACTAAACCACATCCTTCGAGCCTGAGACCAGCACAGTGAAACGAAAACTAGGCCAGGGCTTTTTGCTCTTTTTTTTTTTTTTTTCCCCCTAGTGTTCCTCCCAGTGCTGGCGATGGGGGAACCCCTCCATCAGCTGCTGTGGCCTCCCCTCGAGCAGCGCAGTCCTGCCGGGTCCTGCTGGCCCCATTGAGCCGAGCTCTGCATTTCGCTCAGCGACCCCAGCTGCTGGAGCCAGCGGGGCCTCAGGCAGCGAGACGCACGTGGGATGAGGCTCTCTGCATTTGGCCGGGATGGATTGCGGGGAGTTTCAGCAGAGCAGAAAGCCAGCGAGCGAGCACCTGGGGCGACCCAGAGCTGCGGCGCTCCCCGAGCGGGGCCTGACGGCTGCGGGCAGCATCGCGGTGTGTGCGGCCACGGGTCCCCCCGGGCAGCGCGCGAGCCAAGCACTCGCAGCTCCACGTGCAGATTATGCTCACTGAGCATCAGGAGGAGCAAACACGGAGCTCAGCAGTGACGCCCTGGCAGTGAGAAGCAGCGGGGGGACTGCACTCAGCGCCCAGCCGGGCGGCTCGCAGGCGGGGAGCCGCAGCAGGACACCTGTCCCCTCCCGCCAGCTTGGGAGCATGGGTTGTGATCCGGCTGCATGGGGAAGTTCTCACGTTTAAAGAACAGACAGCAGCTTTATTGGTTTAGTTTGCAAACCAAAACCAGCCGGGAGTTTCTGAAGTGTCTGCCATCCCCACAGAGAGCTGTTTAGTCATGCCTTGTGTGCATGCATGTGAGACAGAGTGCAGGGGAGGGAGTCTCTAGGACTTTGCAAAGATTAAAGATTTATGCTGACCCTTGAATCTGATCCAAGACTACTAATCTGCCCTGATCCTATCGCCGGCTCAGGGTGGATCTATTTCACTTTCCTTTATGGTATTCCTGACTCACTCCACTCCCACTCCAGGCCAGCCCAGTGGGAATGGGAAGCACTACCACATATTTGTTTGGGTTTGCATTTAAAGCTTTGGACCTGTAGTGGGTGCAGCTCATAAAGGAAACCAGCGTGGATAAGATATGGGTGAGCTGAATGCTTGGAAACCACTCCCAAGCCCCAGCCGAAGTGGTTAGAAATCAAGGTGGAGTGATGTGCGGAAGGCACAGCGCTTGGCAGCTACGCCCAGCATGTGAGAAGGGCACTGAAAGCTGAGGTGCTACGGTAGGCAGAGCATCGGGCGTGCTCCAGAAGGAGACCTCAGGGCTTTGCGAGGTCTTTAAAGCAAGGTTTAGCCTCGCCAGGGCAGGAGCAGCTCTCTGCCCCCTCTGCCCCTTGCCACCTGGCTGTGCCCTCAGCCCCCCTGCTGCTCGCACCCCACCACCAGGTACCAAAAGGCTCCCAAAGGCTGCCGGGGCTTTCCTGTGCAAAGCAAAGCGCAGAGGAGGGAAATACAGCCGGGATTGTGCTGAAGGCAGAATTAATCTTCTCTGCCCTTGCAAAAAAAAAAAAGAAAGGTGTGGCAGAAAGAGCAACACGAGCTCGCCGCCCCCGCCAGCCTCTCCCCGGCCCCACGTGCGGGCTCATGCGGAGGAAGGCAGGGGCCAGCTCCCGGCCCTGGCAGCCGAGGGTCGGAGGCAGCAGCGTGGCAGCGAGCTGGCCGGGGAGCCAGCAGGGCCCGCGCCTGAGCTGGCCGGAGACGGAGAGCGCGGCGTATCCGATTTCAGCCCCCCTGGGACATCCTGTTCTCCCGATGACCGATGATATGTAAATATAGCAAATGCAAAGCGAGGCACTTTCCTAGCGAGCCTCGCGCAGGCTGCATATAGAAGGGGGCTGAAACCTAGCAGCACAGTTGGAAACACCCATCTGCAACTGTTAAATAGGCATCACGTTTTATTTTGGGGTTGAAATGAAGTTCCTGTTTGTAAGGCCAGAAGGGTTACAGGAAAAAAAAAAAAAAAAGATGAAGCGGGATCATTTACTGCTATTTTTCTTTTCACGTGTCCTTCCTTCCTTCCTCCCTCCTGAGAAGTAGGATGTAGGACATCACCCTCCCAGCCTGCGATATTCGTTAAGCACCACGCCGGTGCCGATCCCTTCCAACAGGACCATTAGGCCTTGTGTAACAAAAGACACCGGGCTGCCTCGCTCTGCCAATTAGCCTTGATGTCTAGTTGCTACATGAAGGCGCTTATCTCATGTAAATTAAACGCTGCCTTAACACTGACTCTTACTTCCTTTCTCTTTCGTCAGGCTTTTGGGCTGCCCTGCCAGGCAGGGGTGAAGGGCAGGTCAGGCAGGAGGCACGAGCATCCCTCGCCTCCCTCCAGCCCGATCCCCCTGTGCCTCGTCAGGACAGAGGGAAACGAGGTGAAGCCTTCGGCCACGTCAGCCAAACGAGCTGCTCTAACTAGCCAAGCTGGGTGCTAATTAGTCTGCCCGTCAATTCATCGACCCAGCACCCAGGCCTCCTGTGGCAGGGGGGTGGAAGTGGATGAGCTTCAAGGCCCCTTCCAACCCGAGCTTCTCTGTGATTTTGTGGTTTCTCCTTCCAGCTGGGGTCTTCTGGGATTCATGGAGGGGGAGCCTTTTGGCAGGTGCCTGCACAGCTTTCTCCTTTCAGTGCCCCCGAAGGGGAGGTAGTGGTGAGCTGGCAGGAGGGGAGAGCTGCTGGGAATTCCCAGCCCCAGGTTTTCAGGAGCCTTGCTGTGTGGATTAGGTTGCTTAAAAATCTGCATGCAGATACCTGCACTGAACTCTGGAGCCCTGTTTTTCGGAACTAGGAGTGCCCTGGGTCTAGGAGACCCCAGCCCACTTGGTCTGGGAGCAGCTTTGGCCCTGTGTCAAGGCCCACATGAACTGAAAAAGGATAAAGAGAGGGGTGGGTAGCACACGGCGGGAGCAGGGGCAAATTAATATCTGGTACGGCCTCTGAAGGGAAACTAGATCCTTCTGCTTCTGATGTTAATGAGAAAAGCCCCAGTGGAAATTTTAAATCTGGATCTGCATCAGCTCTGCAAAGTTCAGGGAGTTTAGGACAACGAGTTCGGTCCAGTCCATCATGCAACAGAGCTCTCTGCACAACTCACAGCACAACATGTTTTTTTTTTTTTTTTTTTTTTTTTTTTTTTTTTTTTTCCAGTGATTGATACTGCCAAAGACGAGTGCCTGGATGTGAGGCATTTTTATTCTTTTTCATCCCTTTTGCTAATTTAATTCCCAGATCTAAATCTAATTTTTCCGTCTCAGACTCCGCTGACCTGGGATGTGTTGTTGGCAGATCTGAAGCTACTGTGGCTCTGTCGCTCCCAGCTCTGCCCGGTGAAACACCGGCAGCATTTACCTGGCTCAGCAGCAGCCCCACGAGGGGAGGCCTCAAGGTTAGGTGCTGGGCAGGTTTGTTGCTAAATTGAGCCAAAGCTTTCTGATGTGATAGTGAACAAATCATTACATTGCTCCTCTTCTGAATTTCTTCATTTTTAAATGAAGACAAAGCCCTACCAGTTCTTGTGATTGCTCAAAAGTGGAGCTGAGGAGGGCTGTAAGCAACCAGGAGGATTTTCTGAGGAGCCTGGGGGCAGTGTGGCACAGCGGACACACGCTGGGCTCTCCCTTATTTTCATTCTTCCTTGTTTTCTTGCTCGCAGAATAAGAGATAATCTGCGATGCTCTGCAGCAGGCTCCTGTGTGCGGCACTACAGGAAAATCCTAAATTCCCTTTCCTGCTCATGCATACAAAGCAGGAAGAACGAACATGGCTGCAGACTGCTGCTGTTTTCAGATGATTTAGCCAAGGAGAAAAGAACCGGGTGGCTGAAAGGAAGAGCACTGGGTGGGAAACAACCCCGGAGCACGGCTCCAGCTGATGGCACGCGAGGTGTCCAGCGTCCCGAGATGCCCCCGCTCCCAGAAACGTCAGCTGCCAGAGCAGGCAGCAGGGGACAGTGAGGAAAAGCAGAGCATGCAGGCTCTGATGGAGGAGAGATTTCCTCCTCAGAGCCGGGTGCTCCCTTCTGCGCCCGGTTCCAGCACAGGGAAAGTTCCCCCTGTCCAATTTAGGGCTGCTGTTTGGCGCTGTGGCGGCGAGCCAGGAATCCGGCTGGTGTAAATCAGCGCAGCTCGGCGGGCTTGGTTCAGGCACACGGCTTCTCCTGCCCCTGCCTCAGCGCCCCGGCTGCACCGCGCTCCGTGAGGCATTTTGACTATCACCGAGTAAAAAGTATTAAATGAGACCGTCTGACCCCTCGGGCACGTTGCGCAGCTGGGCACAAACACCCCTTCGGCTCCCTCATTTCGAGGCTTCACCCCGTTCCCAGGATTATCCCCCCCTTGTCTGTGATGAGGCAGAAAGGTGCTGGGGGGACACGAGGCATCGCTGCGTGCCCCCGGCCACCTCTTGCTGGCACCTGCAGCTCCTCACTGTGGATTTACACCGCAGAGATGTGCTGGGGGGCTTAGGGGGGCAAAAGGGGATTTGGGGAAGCTGGGGTGAGGTGAGGTGAGGCCAGGGGGAGGCTGAGGCTGAGGCTGAAGCCTTGGAGGCCCCAGGCGAGGAGCAGGGTTTGGGTGAGGTTGCACCCCCACCTGCTGGATAAACCAAGCAAGGACAGGAGAGAAGCCGGGGATAAATGGGGCAAGAAAAGGAGAAAATAAATATTTAAGGAAAGGCAAGGGAGCCCTGGCTTGCTGCTGTCTGCGGGGGCACGGGGAGGACACCCCACTGCCCGCCTGGGTGATGGGGGTCCCCATGGGGTGACACTGAGGGGGTCCAGGACATGAGGTGACCCTGACCAGGCTGTGAGGGCCTGGTTGTGTGGAGCAGGCCCCGCAGAGCTGCCCCGTGCTGCTGAGGTGCGGAGCTGCTGGCCTTGGTATGATGTAAATGTGTAGAGGAACCCAGGTGCCCAGGTTTATCAGGAATGGTGCCACAGGGACATTTATGGGCTGTGATCTGTGAGCAGCACCCTCACTGCGAGTTGCAGAAGCCCTGGGAAGGAAAACACTGCCATTTTGAGGCACAGGGCCTCACCCAGGACCCCTAGGAGGCTGCTGCTGTGGGTTTTCCCTTGGTGTTGGCTTCCCCTAAATTCAGTAGGACACGTGTCTGCACCAAACTGGAGGCTCAGGGCTCCGTGCCCTTCTTGCAGAGGCTCGCTTGGAGACTGTTGGTGGCTAGGCTTCGCACTGGAAGAATGTTTTTTCTTTTTTTTTTTTTTCTTTTCTTCATTTTTCTTCTTCTTCTTCTTTTTTTTTTTTTTTTTCCTTTATTTTATTTTATTTTATTTTATTTTATTTTATTTTATTTTATTTTATTTTATTTTATTTTATTTTATTTTATTTTATTTTTTCTTTTCTTTTCTTTTCTTTTCTTTTCTTTTCTTTTCTTTTCTTTTCTTTTTTCTTTTTTTCTTTTTTTTTTTAATTTTTTTTCTTCTTTTCTTTTCTTTTTCTTTTTTATTTTTTTCTTTTCTTCTTTTTATTCTAAATTAGAGAAAGGGTGAAATGGTGTGACTTAGCTGGCGAAGGCCCTGACTGGGCAATAAATCTGCAAGCAGGGGCTGGCTTTTGTGCAGGGGTCCCTGCAAGTGCCAAGGTCTCTGCTAATAAATCTGACTGGAAAACCAGGAGGAAACTTTTTTAAAAAAAAAAAAACTTATTGCTAACAGCAGGCTCCTTTTTTAACCATCATTTTTTCCCCTCTCTCTTCTGCTGATTCATGCTCCTGTTGCCTCGCCGCGGGGAGACTCCAGCATTCCTGAAGGTCATCCCTTGCATGCAGCAGCTCACGCTGCAAAGCCTTTGCCAGCATCTACCGAATCAGAATGCTAAAGGCACTGCGACCATTTATCTTTTCCCTGTCAGCAATGGAAAAACTTGCATCTTGCCAGCCTCTAGGCTGCCACGTTTCCATTCTGCTAGGCTACCAGAAGGCAAAGGGGGTGCAGGAAAGGCAAACCTGATGCTGGGTCGCCTCACTGCCGTGGCAACCCAAGGATTTCCACCTGGGCTCACCTTTGGGCATTCCCTGTAAGATCCAGAAAACCTAGAGCTCAAGAAAGCACCTAGCAGGGCAGCCCATCCCTCGGCCAAGTATGCAAGACGCTGGGGAATGAGACGCTGGGGTGCAGGTCGGGTTTCCTGCTGGCGTCGCAGCGCTGCTGGCGGCCTCAGCTTCCCTCGCCAGTGCCTCCCTCTCCTTCTGCGTCCCTCCTCCCCAGCACGGGAGGCCTTACGCTGCCCTGTGCAGGGAGAGAGAGGATTGAAAGGCATGCTATCAGCACTCAAATACCTCTAAGAAAACAAGAATTATGTTTTAGTTTTCACTGCACGTCTCCCTTTTAATGGCAAAGGAATATTTCTGTTTTCGCTCAATCAATAGCACAACAGACAAGTTTCTTTCTGAGAAAAGGTGTGGGGAAGACACGGTGAAATCCTTCCTTTACTCTGTTAGAATTTCCACTGTGGCAGTACCCAAAAGTTCCAAAAAAGAGCAAGCAAGCCCTGAGTACAAGTGCGGGAAGACACGGGTTGCTGCCCGCTGTGTGTCTGGCCACACCGGGTGCCACAGGCTGCGTGCCAGCCTTAGATCTTGCTACAGCTACTTTGATGTCCATCTCTTCAGCTGTTTCTTTAGAAAAAGGAAGTGGTGCAGAGAGAAACAACTCTTCTGCTGTTAGTAAGTGTACTTAGAAGCTGCCCCCAGCTGCTGTATGGGGGGGAGAAGGGGAGGACTCTACCTGATTTGTTGTGGTCTGCCTTCGGCCAGCAACAGTGATCGCAGAGTACCACCGATTCAAGGGGGGGAAATAAAAATAATAAAAAAATAAAAGTGCAGCATTAGCTTGGGATGGCATTTAATGCGGATGAACAGGCGGTTTGTTGATGCAGGTCTGATTCACCCGAGCTGAGATTGCCCACGTATTAAGCTGCATTGGGATGCGCAGCTCTGGGCAGAGGTGCTGATGGTGTCTGTCAGCCTTATCGCTTTCCTCTGAGCCTCTGCAACACGAGGGTGACACATATCTTGTATACGCTACCACACGCCTGCTTTTCTTTTGCTAAGACTTTAAGTGGGACTTGAAAATCCAGAAGTGGAAGCAGGCCCCACCTGCTGGTGCTGGGAAGCAAGAGGCCCAGCCAGAGCCACTTTGCTCACAAAACTCCTGCACCAGTTCCTACCCCCGGGTAAGGGAGGATGCCTGATCTGGGAGGCACCGCCAGCTTCTAAGGCATTTCACAAATCCTTCTTGAAAGAAAACCGGTGTCCAAGTGAGCAGTAGGCACAAACAAGGCGCGTGTACTTGCCTCCTTAAAGCACGAAACACGAACAAGCAGAAATGTAAAATCTCAGGGCAATATTGATGCTGTTATTTTGCCATGGTTGCTGGTTCAGCAGCAGGGGAAGAGCCGCACAGCCAGGTTCTGTAACTAATCAAATCAATTAGTTTCTTTGTCTGCATCAGCCAGTGGGAGTAGTCTTTAGCCAAAGACAAATTAAAGAAACGTCCAGTAAGATATTCTATTTTGAGAGGAGCTGCCCTATTTTCTCATGCTAATGACAGACTCAGAAATCTGTGCACAATTTAGCTCGTTATTAGGACTAATTGGTGCCAGGCATTCCATCCTCTTTGATATGGCTAGACATGGCTAGAACATTTTCCAAGTTAATGAACCATAAAATGGATTAAGAACTTTCAAAGTGTAGTTCATATCACGGCTTAATTGGAAGGAGCGTAGTAGTTGGCTTTTTATGGATACAAAGAAAAGCCATGTTTTGGGGCGGAAAAGCACATGCACAGCCGCCTTCCCTGCCGCTGGGAGCTGGGAAATTTCTAATTCCAGTGCTGCAGAGCAGCCACATTTCATAGCAGGCACCTTCCAGGACGGCAAGCCCGGCTCGGTGGGATCTCCGCGGCGGAGGTGGATGGATGGGCTTCTCTCCCTGTGTGCGGTACTCAGCATTCCTCCTGCATATTGTGGTGCGGAGAGAAACCAATTAATACAGATCCCCCAGCAAGGTCAGCGGAGCTGCCAAGCGGATGAGGTGCCAGTAGGAAATGTAGCATGAATCCTCCTGATGCGGCTGGCATCGCTGATGCCAGACTGTCACGCCCGAGTGTGCAGGCCCGGTGGTTTTATGCAAACCTCGTTCTGTTTGCTTTTTTACATCTGTTTGACAGTGGTCTGTAAGAGTTTATTTCCTCCATCCTTTTCTTAAACGTTGGCTTGGGAAAATGTAATGTGATTTAGAAAATTTCCTTCTGGCAGTTATGGTGAAGGAGCATGAGCAGGTGTCCCACAGAGGGATGGAGCAATGGGCTGTAGGATCCCAACAAGATCGACCCTAATGATACCAGGTGAAATGGAATACATCTGTAAACGCACAGGCACATGTACATCACTGAACAGTGCTGATCAGAGATGTAATACTCTGTGTTACTTTTCATTATGTCGATATTTTCCTGAACATGCATGGAATAATCTGAAGCCTTTGTCCTTAGCAGGAGCTACACAGCATTTTTGTTTCTTGTATTATCCCAACATTATGAGCATTAATGTTTCACCTGAGGATACAGCAATTTACCATTTCATGCTCTGACACAAATTTGGTAATGTAGGTAATGTGTAATTTAAATGAGTGCCAACCAAAGCGTACCTCTCCTAAATGTATTTGGGATGATGTGTTACATCACTGGGTGAATCCAGTGGCTCTCCTCTTGTGTCTTGCAGCCTCCAGAGAATTTCCAGGAAACCTCTAGACACTGAAAGTGATAATCTGGCTTCTTTTTGTATGTGCTCTTTTCCTCTAATATGGCCATCTGCAGACTGGTCCTCCTCAAATGCCAGAAATATCCTGCAAGCCATGGCAGCAGTAATTGCATTGCTGTAAGTGCTCTGCACTGCCGCAATAACGAGCTCAGAGATTCCCAGGGTGCTTTATGCAGACAGCTGACAGTGGAAATGTGAAGCAGAGTCAAAGTCTAAAGACCTGAGAAACCCTGCGTGGAACAGTCAGTAGAATTATGTACCCAGATTAGAGCTCAGTGCTGCCTTGCCGACCATAGCAAAAGGATTTTGGAGAGCCCCATAATTTGTGGTGAATGCCAAGAATGTACCATTAACTCGGTGTAATGAATTTTATCATTCCTTTGCGTTTAGGCACACATAGCTTTTGTTATGCTGCACATTATTGCATTATTTTCATGGGAGAAATATTCATAATGTTCAAACGCAGACACATCAGAACCTGCAAATGCCTGAAATACTCTGCAACTTCCCTAGGCTCGAGAGAACAGACACAGAATCCCCATTTGCTGGCTCTGGAAGCATCTGATAGTAAATCACAGTCTGTTGCCTGAAAACACACCACAAATGGGAACAGACTTCCTCTACTAAGGATTTGCAGCCCATGTAGAAAGTCTCTCTGATATCTTTGCAATACGGTGGGAGGGGGCATTGTGGTGTTGTTGTCAGCTATCAAAGCGCTGGGTACCTCCTCTTGCACTATTTTGTTACAGCTGGTGAATTAGCAAATTGTATTGGCTCCCGGGAGTAAAATATTTATTTATCATTTAATCGCAAACACGACTGCTGTAGATGATGTGCTACTGCCCGTTCCACATCTGTTTCCAGTGAGCTACTATGTGCACCTCAGGAAGCTTTTAACTCTGAAATACCGACGGGCACACAGGAGCAACCGGCCCCTCAGATCGGCTCCTAGCTGCCTCGTTCAGTCTGAGTGCTATGGCTTCCAGTTCCTGCAAAATCTTCAACATATACCTGTGTAAATCACAGGCAGAAAGGGACTTTGGGAGGTAGTCTGAGAATACTATGTGCTGCCAGGTCCTCAGATGCGCCATGTACTAGCGGTGGTGGGGCTGGGGCAGGGAGCAGCCCGGCAGGTGTCTGGGGACTGATGGGGCAAGGCAGGGGAGACAGTGTCTGGTTCTGGGCCCCCCAGTACAAGAGAGAACTGGGCATACTGGAAGGGCCACCAAGGTGGTGGAGGCTCCCTCGTGTCCGTAAGCACCCAAAGGAAGGTGCGGGGAGGATGGAGCCCGGCTGTGCTCAGCAGTGCCTGGTGCCAGGACCAGGGGTTGTTGTGGGCACAGCCTCACCCAGAGGTGTCTCCAGCTTTATCCAGTCTGGGCCTCTGTGATCCTGTGACCAACAGATCCTGTTCAAAACCGATTTGAGAACGTGGTCGGGCACCGGAATGGGGTCCCCAGGGACGTGGCCATGGCACTGAGCCTGCTGGAGTTCAAGAAGCAGTTGGAGAGCGCTCTCAGACACACGGTCTGATCTTTGGGTGGTCCTGTGTACAGCCAGGAGTTGGACTTGATGTTTCTCATGGGTCCCTTCCAACTAGGGATATTCTGTGATTATACAGTCCATTAATATCTCTTAATGGAGGGGATTCGAGCGATAACAATTTTTCTGCAGCATCATAAGAAATCCTGAGGTAAAAAGAGCGTGCTTCAGGTGAAGGGACAAAGTTCTCTTCCCCTGGGCACCTCAGGGACCCTCCTGTGTTGGTTTTTCAGCTCTGCCTCCACCTGCTCAGCTCACATCCCTCCTGCCTCGGCCTCGCTCAGCAGGTGCCGCAGGGGAACTCTGTGGAGCTGGTGTTGGGGCAGGTTGGTGGATGGCATGGGTTATATACACCGAGCTCCTCGGCAGGGCCTCCCCAAGGACGGACGGGTTGTTTATAGAGGGATGTTTGCTATGTAGGTGAAGGTGTCCAGTGTGTCACTCTGCGCTGCTCCTGCCACCTCTGCTTAAATAATAATAATAATAAAGGCAGGTGTGTGCGCTGGTTTGTGTTCTTTTTCTCCTGAAGAGTTGGGGATTTCTGATCTCCCTCCACCTGTAATGGAATTTTGTGTACAGAGCCAGGGTTAGCTTGGCTGGGGAGGCAAACAACCGGCTTCGGGTATGTTTGTTAGGTTAGAGGTTGGACTCGATGATCTTGAGGTCTCTTCCAACCTAGAAATTCTGTGATTCTGTGATGTGACTGGCGGAGACACAGCGCCCATGGCGAGATCCCTGAAAACTCCACACAGAACACAGGGCAGAAACTGGAGACCAGGTGTGAGAACAGCCAGTAATGACGCTGAGCCGGTTTCTAGATTTATTACAAACACATTTCCTCATTTCCTTCGCGTTTCTCCCGTTGGAACCCACAGCCCCACCTCCCCCCCATTCCCCAGCGCCCACCCCAAGATGGCGGCGGCGCCCAGCCTCCCCCACCCCCCCCATCTCCCTCCCTCTGCCCGCCGGGGTCCTCCCGGGGCGCCGTGCGGCCGTGCGGCCGGCAGGGGGCGCTGCGGCGGCGGCGTCACGTGAGCGCGGCGCGGGGGCGAGCCCGGCAGCCGCGGGTGCCCGAGAGCCGCGGGAGCGCCGGCCCCGACCCCGACCCGGCCCCGTCCCGGTCCCGGCCCCGGTCCCGTCAGCGAGGGCCCGGCCAGGCCCGGCCCGGCCGCAGCCATGCTGGCGCTGCTGTCCCGGCTGCTGGACTGGTTCCGCTCGCTCTTCTGGAAGGAGGAGATGGAGCTCACCCTGGTGGGGCTGCAGTACTCGGGCAAGACCACCTTCGTCAACGTCATCGCGGTGAGGGGGCTGAGGGGGGCCCTGAGGGGAGCCCTGAGGGGGGCTCTGAGGGGGGCTCTGAGGGGGCCCGGCCGCGGTTCCGGGGCTCCCCTCGCCGCCTCTCTGCCGATTTTGCCTCCTCCCGGCCCCTCCTGCACGGCTGCGGAGCCCGGGCCCGGAGCTGGGTGTGGGAGGCCTCCCCCACGGAGCGCTGCCACCGCCGAGCCGTGAAGGGGAGGCTGCTCGGGGGGGCGATGAGGGCAGGTTTGGTGCTCCGCAGGGCCCGGCACCGGCCCTGCACAGCGCCCCTACAATCAGGGAGGTGGTGGCTACGGCTTCAGGCCCAAGCAGACCTCCTCCTGCCTCTGCCGTGAGGTGTCATGGTAAAGTTCTGGGTGTTTTTAGGGATGTGTTTGTCGAAGTGCCACGGTTGGAAAACTGGATAGGGAAAAAGACTCGTTCTTCTGCAGTTACACGTGGTTCTTGTGCCAGGGAGAGTGTCAAAACCTAACAGAGCTCTCATGCAGTTGAACGCTAGTTCTTAGTGGTCTCCATGATACCCACGTGAAGTGGGTCTCCCCTAGTTAAAAGGTCACATTTCCTCGGCCTGGTTGTGTTAAGGAAAAGTTGCTGGACTCGCCTGAGGACTCCAGAAGCCTTTATCCACACATGCCAGTGGCTGCAGCTCCCTCTGCTCCTGGATTTCTGCGAGTGGAACTCATGAGCCACCTCATTTGAGTTTGGGTTCTGGCATTACTCTGCAGGTTTCTCCCCTTATGATGTCCCAGGTGGCGATGGCACGTGTTGAAGTACTGCTCTTCTGTGCTTTGAAGCACAGCTCCTTCAAGGAGTTGGGTGAAACTGCTGCAGGTAACGTGGAGTACCAGAGAAGAGCTGCAGTGGTCACACAGCATTTTAGTCCATCCAGATTGTCCCAGGTGGTTAAAGCACTGCGAGTAAAGCTGGCAACTGCGTCCAGCTTGCTTTGTTGGGGGTTGAATCTTGCAAGGTTTCGCCTGCTCATTAAGATCACGCCCAGAAATTTATCTGAGTAAGTGTCATTCAAATGGGCTTGCAAAACTGAGTGAAATAAGGAAGTCATTATGCATAAGACACAGGATCGTTTACTGCTTCAAGTCTGGAAGCAGTAAGGTACATTTCTGAGGCTTATAATTAGGAAATCTAGTGCCTCTTTAAGAAAAACAGAGCGAGGGAAACTTGCTTAGGTTTTTGTTATTGGCTTAAGAAAAATAGCGTGAGCTTTCGTTGTCAGCACAATGCGGTCTGTGGCATGCAGAGCCAACCTCTTCTCAGGTGTTGCCTTTAGTTCAGAGCGTGCACGGGGAAATTAGTGCTGGAAAAGGATAACTGCTCTCTGCAGGCCTGTTAATGCTTTGGGTGGAAGTAGCTGTCAGGCACTGGGATTCCATAAAACTGAAATGAAAGGAATGACACAGCAAGATGCGAGGCCTGTAGATAGCTTTCAGAGCTGGGTTACATGCCAGGGTGTAGCTTAAGGTTGCGTTCTGCCTAGCAGAGGGCTGTCAGCAGCGTCCTGACAGCAGTGAGTTTAACGTGAATCTCTGGTGTAGTCCTGTGTCTGCTGTGGGGCCCCACTTAAACCAGGCACTTGTAACTAGAGGGAAGACTCGAGCCCATTACGTTGGAGGCTTGATACAACTCCTGCATGACTGGTGAGGTGGAAATGCCACGAGAGGCAGACAGTCCAGTTCTGGAGCAGTGTTTGTGAGCTGGTTTGGCCTGTATTTATCTTTCTGGTCTGAGCAAGGAGTTAGTCTGTAACCAGACCAAACTTAGTTTGGGGGCTTAGCAACCTCAGCAGAGAGATCTGCTTACAGCTGGATGCAGCTTCTGCAGCTTCTGCTTTGCTGTTGGCTCCATATTAGTCATGGCCTCTAATTAGATATTTAGCATAAGTTTTCCGTGTGCGTGAGTAAACTTGCTCACAAGGGAGGATATCATTTCCTCCTGCTCCTAATTTCCATAAGGTAGATGGCCTGTGGCTCCTTTCAGAGAAACTGCGTGTCATCCCAGCATTGTGCCGGGCACGGCGAGCTCCTCAGCTGAGGGCTGGAGGTGCCCATTCCTTTCTGGAGTCCGCAGCATCTTCTGCTGCTCGCTGGGCCACGGGCTTTCATCAGACCTGCTGTGGAGCTGCAAGTCACAGCGGGAGGGAGGACAGGCAACCCAGCTCCGTCACGTGGCGCAGCTGCAACATGACTCGAAGAAACGGGCGGCTCCCAGGCAGCAGGGTGCCGCTGCCGTCAGGAAGGAGCTCCATGGAGGGGCACTGCTGCCTGTCCCCAAACCTCGTGTGCCAAAACTCCAGGATCCAGGCATCCGGAGCGCTGCAGCTCCAGGGGCTGGGCTGCAGCAGGAAGGAGAGGGGAGATGCCGGGTGGGCGGGGAGGCAAGGCAGGCTGCCCGCGTGGGGTTGTTGGGTGTAAGAGCTGAGCTTAACCTGTTCTGTTTGTGCTGATAGGGCACATAAGATCTGTTTTCAGGATTTCTGTCGAGGCCTGAATCAATGAGTGTTTTCTCTAGCTGTGGCGTGTCTGACAAGCCTCTGAGTGAGGCTTTGGTCCCTGGAAAGAGGCAACATCAAATGAAGCTCCTTGGAATGAACGGTTCCGCTGGACAGCAGTGGCTGTGGCTTCCTTCAGTCCCCGTGCCTGTTACACGTAACTTTGTCTAGAGTTGTCCTGGAGGAGTATGGAAAAGGATTGTTCTGACCAGCCCCAGTGCTGCCTTAGTGCCTTCTGAAGCACCCAGGTGGGCTGTAAATAGTTTGCGTTGAGGCTTTGGAGCACTTTGGTGAGCAGTGGGATACACCTCTCAGTGAGCAGTGGGATACACCTCTCAGTGAAGTGTTTGTTAATTGCAGCAGCCTATTGAAACGGATTGCCTCACTTCATTAGGTAATAAGGCAACACGAAGTGACTCACCTTCAGCTAGTGCTGTCTTTGAGGTCCTGCTTGCTGTACCCCAAGTGGTCTCAAATAGAAATGTTTGTCTGTTGTCATGGTCTTGGGTTCTCCTGTAGCTTGTGAGCTTGGGAGCTTCTGAGCGTGGTCACAAGTACTGGAACACTGGAGTACTTCAAGAGGGAGGTGACTGCAGGGACCGGGGAGGTGACCTGCCTGTGTGTGATGCACGCCTGTGGTCAAGGCCATCGATGCTGCAGAAGTGGCATGGTGTAGGGGTAGCTTTACATAATGCTAAAATGCCTGCTTTTTGAAAGTAACTTGTAAGATGCAGCTTTTTTCATAGTGTAGGCAGAAATGTAGGGGCAAACAGTGGGACTGCAGGTGGACTAGGAGTGTCCTGGCTGGAGTCTTTGTGCAGTAACAAAGCTTATATGAAGAAATCTGTCCTACAAGAGTAATGAATCACGTTAGTTTTGGGATGCAAACCAGAGTCAGCCCCACTACTCTGTGTTGCTGTAAAGAATCCCCTTGTGCAGGCAGCGGGGTGGTGATCTTGTAGCTGTGAATTGGTCACTGAGGCCAAGGTGGATGAGCCATTGTAGATGTGGTTTCTGGTGCAAGCAGGAAAGCTGCCACGCTAGGCAGAAGGAAAGAGGAAGGAATCCCAGTTCTGCCTTTGAATTGTTTCAGCATCCCTAATATTTTAAAGCATCTTTAGGGAGGGTACAGGAAACGAGCTCCAGTCTTACGCTTAGTTACTTGCTCGAGTTGCTTCAGCATTTGTGATTTGCTTCAGCGTGCCTTCCTGGAAGCTGGCGGTCCTCTGGCTGTAGCTGGTGGCTACAGAAAGGCGGGCGGGAGCTGGAGTCAATTCTGTTCTGTTCTTTTGACTTGAGACAGCTGAAAATGGTACAGCAAGTAAGCAGCTTGTTTTGATGATAACTATGTATTTAAAGAAAAAACAAACAAGCATCCTTTGTATACTTTAGAAAAGCTAGATGGTGCTAGGCTGAATGCTTGTCTGGAGTACTCAGACCCTCCCCTTCTGCAATGTGAAGTGTAGCTGCAACTGGCACACCGCAGTCCTGTTCCTGAGGGAAAACTCCTGGGGATGCCGGCTGGTGAGGCTGCCCCGGGGCTGTTGGTAGGCACAGAGGGAGGCCAGGGCTGCGGGACAGCACTGCAGGCCCAGGGGGGCACTCGGGCAGAGTACAAGGTAAAAAGCAGTGACTATGAGCGTGGGTGTGCTTTAACACGTCTGGTTGTGTTTCAGGGCACACAGCGACCACAAGACCCCGTTAAAGCGGGTGCAAACCGAGGAGCTGACCGTGGCTGCAGTGCAGAGCCTGGGCAGATGAGTGCTGTGAGGGCTGAGGGCACCCAGCAAACCCCTCGGGTGCCTCTTGCTCCCCTGTGGCCAGGAGCTGCACGGTGCAGTGCAGCGCAGTGCAGCCCCAAACCAGGGCTAGCATCAGCTGGTGTGTGACTGGTGGACCAGGTTGGTGTGGTGCGGGGAGCGTTCGTCATGCTGTGGGCTGTGCTAGAGGTGGAACCGACCGTGCTAGTCACAGGTGAGCCGAGTCCAAACTGACGAATGAGCGGAGGTGTCTGCTGCACGCTCCTAAATTGCTTAGTCCAGCCTGGGAGCAGTTCTGCTTCTCTCAGTAACCCTTATCCAGGGCGGGGGGTACTTGGGCAGGTAAGGGGGTGCGTGTTGCCCCGTGGGAGCAGGTTACCTGTGTCTCACCCGCCAGCCTGTTACAAGAACTGTTTCTTGGAGTGGGCAAGCATTGCACAAGGCTGGTTTGTTTCTGTGCAGCGAGCTCGTAATCTCTGTCCTCTTAATGTTCTTCAGGTCTAGCACCGGCTGTGACTTACTGCCTGCCCCGGAGTATGAGAACTGTTGGGTTGAGGTGGTCTTCACTGGGCAGTTCCACGCTGAGCTTCCCTGTGTTGCTGGCACTTAAGCCTCATGGTTTTGTGCACCGGGGCCCGGTTAATAGTGAGGTGACTGTGAGCAGTCACCTCACTAATAGCAGATGTGAGGCTTTCAAAAGGGTTGTTGCTTGCCCATTATCCTTAACATACCGAGTGTGAAGGGAATATAGAGTCCAGATACGTGAGGAATAGATACCAGAGGGCACTTGTAGCTCATCTCAGTCAGTGCTGCAGGGGCAATTCTAATACTCAAATACCTTCATACAAATGCTGTGGAACTGCCTGCCGATGTGCCTGACAGTAGGAACTGGATGACACTAAACTTCTGATACATCATGTGCTTGGGTTTTCCAGGAGCATGGAATTTTGAAAAGGGAGCATCTCGTAAATCCAGAGGCTTGAAGACTAACCGTGCAGGTTCTTTCTGCGGTCTCTGGAATTCAGTCCGTTTAGTCTCCCTCTTATCTTCCACTTATGGATGAGAGCAAACTGAGTCTGTTCTGTGACCTTCAGTGAACAGTTTCTGTTCGTGCTGTATGGTCTGTGTGGCCTCAGAGCTACGGGCCGAGTTCACAGCACTTGCAGTGCACAGGGCTGATCCGGGAGGCATGGATGAAGTACAGCGTCTGCCTGTCGGAGTGTTCACGGGTGCTGAAAACAGATGCTGGGGCTAGGTTTGCAGGCAGCTACTCTGCTGTCCTTGAGTGTTTGAGCAATGTGTGACAACAGCCAGTACTTCCAGACTGGGGATTGAAAATATTTCTGTGCTTATCGGACTTGTTTGGAAGCTGAGGCCTATTTTAGGAGGAGAAAGCATCATATTGTGAAAATGAGCGATAGGGCTGAGTAATCTGCTTTGTGTTCGCATGGGGGGAGGCGGGGAGAAGCCCAACTCAAACAGAACTGTGTACAGATGAGGAGTTCCTCTTATCTGAAGGAATCTGTGTTCTAAAGGTGCAGTGGGAGAGCATAAGCTATTGATGGGAGCAGCTCTCTGTTGAAGGATCTGGAAGGAGCTGGGAGTAGGAACAGCTAACAGCATGTGGGGTGCTGTGAAGTAGCACAGGAGTGGAAGTTCAGGGAGTGTTCAGGAGGTGCTTGGTTGGAGTGTGGGTGTAGGGTGTGACTGCAGAGGGAGGAATGCAGTGGTTCTTGAGCAACCGTGGCAAGCTGACCCTTCAAAGGCAAGACTGGCAGTGCATGCCTTGAGCTGAACTGCATCAAACGTGGAAGCAATGCTTACTCTTCTGCTGTTGAATTCACACAATCAAACGGGCTGAAATGGCCAAGTTGGGCACTAGGCTTTTAAGGCCGTAACAAGAAGCTACGCAGGAGGTGTTGAGGTTGTGCACCCACCTCGCTGAACTTGGCAAAAAGGTTTGAGCAGTTCCTGAAGCGGCGCTGTGGGAGACCACTGCATGTTCTTCTGTGTAGTCTAGGCAGTTTAAACTTCTTTCAAATGGAAATGCAAAACATCTGCTTAAAGAGGCTTAAGTTGTTCATTTTTAGGTCATCACTGTTTTTAGTTACATTCCTTAGATTCAAGGACTTAGTTATTTCCAATTGCCTTCTAAGACTCTGTATAACTAACTGTACATCTGGGAAGCAGATCTTAAATGAGACAAATCACTGCCTGTTCAGGGGGCTGCTGCCTTTGTGTTCAAGCTCTGGATAGATTTGTTTTGGAGGTCAACCAGAACAATGTGCCACTTAGCTTTTCAGCTGAAGAGTTTCAGTTGGGCCAAATAAGCAGAAATGAGCTTGTCATCCATATGTTTTCAATGTATTTTAGTGTTATATTGTGTATTGTGTGAGGCTTCTGGCTTTGGTTTGCTAGGGGAGGCTGGCAGTTCTACTGGGGAGGGAACAGACCTGTGGGGTTTTTAGGCGTGGGGTTTTTAGGTCGAGAGCTGAATGACAGAGCACTGATGTTACAAACTTCTGGTTGCGGGCTCCAAAAAACATGTAGCATGTCCAAAAACATGTCAAAGCATGTCCAGTCAGACTAAGCCAATACTTCCAGCTCGTGAGCAGCTGGGCCCTAACTTGTAGGGTGATGTGATGTCTGCTTCAGCTGTTCTAAAAAGGGTTTTCATTCAGGCTGGCTTCTCTGTGCAGCTTGGGGGGAGAGAAGCAGACTTCCTCCTGCTGTGATATTGAGCACTAATTAAACAACCGAATGCATCTGAGTTGACCTTTTTTTCCAAATCTGCTGTGACTGTCTGGTTCTGTTAAATGCAGTGGATGTAGTGAGATGCATAACGCCCGCTGTGGCTGAGATTCACCTTCTGCCAGATAGCCAAGGCTGCATGGGAGAAACCTGTACTGCCGTCGATAACACGTGTTGTGACTGCTGGGCCAGCTAGCAGAGATAGCTGTGAACTTGGCTTTCAGACTGTTAGAGATAAAAGTGTAAGTGATAGTAAAACTTCTGCCATTAGAGAGCCTCCCTAATGCATCGCTGTTCTGCAGCAGCGATATCAGGGCTGAAAGTGATGCTGAACTGGTAGAAGCAGGAGGAAATGCTCTCCACTTGCTTTGGTCACCTCTTGCACTGCTGAACCAGTTGGGCACTAGCCACACAGGAGGCAGCCCTGGCAGGTCCTTCCACTTGCCAGCCTTTTAAGACTCCTCAGGTGCTAACCATACCTGTGGGTTGAAGGTTTACTCCACGAGAGTGATTTATTACTGCAAATGTTGCCCACAGAGTAGCTTGCATCAGAGGAGCAGCTGGGTGTTTTGAGCTGCCAGGAGCCTAGCAGATCCCAAAGCACAGAACGTGGCTCCAGCAGAAGCAGGTGAATGGCTTTCGTCCTATACTTGTCCTGACTGTCCGTCTGTTCAGCTACGTAAAGCACTGCTCTACCAGTAACTTTGTGCCTCTGACTCCCTCAAGGCTTGAAAGATTATTTAAGTGCTTTTAAGAAACACTGTGACTGCCTGTGCAAGCTGCAACACATGTCAGTGTAATACCTGTGACTTCCTGGCTATAAGGCCTTCAACTGGAAGGCTAGAAAACCTTGTGGTATTTTACCACATAAACTAGTTGTATGAGAAGTGTTAGACTTAACTTTCTTTTTTTTTTTTTTTTTTTTTTTTTTCAGTCAGGTCAATTCAGTGAAGATATGATTCCTACTGTGGGCTTCAACATGAGAAAAGTTACAAAGGGTAACGTTACAATAAAGGTATGTTAACGTTGACCGTCTTTATTTTTAAACCCATATGAAATTGTCTTCAGGTTCTAGTTTAAAAATTGCACACTTACTCTATTTTGTTCCCACCGTTGGGACAAGTATAGCAAACTGAAGAGGCTCAGCTAAATCTGTAAAATAGCATAAGAATAGACTTAGGTTTATTTATGGAGTTCCTTAAATGAGAAGCAGTGTTTGATTTCCAGATTCATGGACTAGTTAAAGCAATGCTTTAATAATGATGTCTGGCTTTAATCTGAGTTAATTTTCACACTTCGAGGGCCCACACGTCCTGTTCTTCTTCTGCTCTTCAGTATTGCTCAAAGCTTAAGTCATAACCAGAGTGTGAAGTGGGTACATTGTATTTTCATGTATTCTACAGTATATCTGTGAAAACTTAATAGGCAGGTTTTCATGCATCTGATATAAGATGTTCTAGTTTATATCTTATACTATCTGGCCTGTGAGATTTGAGTAGCTGTATTTTCACTGCTTGCAGAGATTATTTCTGTTCTAATAAGCGAAAGGTCCTGCAGCTGGCATAAGGAAAGAAGAAAACTGTTTTGACTGCTTGTCTTGTATGTATGACGTGCTTAAATAGTGTATGGCTAAATTGTCTTTTTTCCTTCCACTTAAGATCTGGGATATAGGAGGGCAACCACGATTCCGAAGCATGTGGGAACGATACTGCAGGGGAGTTAATGCTATTGTGTAAGTGTCATTTTCCCTAGGCTTATATTTAACTGCAGACTTGCTTCTCTTCTGTATCTAGTGTAGTAGCACATAATGGACTCGGTGTGCTCGTATTAATTCTGAAACTGTACTGCAACCGTATTAAGTAACTTCTGTACCCTCAAGTTCAGGGCTCAGGATGCGTTATTTTCTCATCAGTGTCTAATCCTGAGTACTAACTACTTCCAGTTTGACTTGGATGGCAGAGTAGTCTTAACGGAAAGAATTTTCCCACTACTCTGATTGTGGGGAATTTCTTTGAAAAGAACCGAATTCCTTGCTCGGAAGACCTAGCTTTGTTTAAAGCTTTGAATGTGCTCAGACCTGACAGTTTAAAGCAAAGACTGCTGTTTCTGAAGTAGTTGAGTCCTGCTGAACTAACCTTAAATTCTTCTTAAAGCTACATGGTAGATGCTGCAGATCGTGAAAAAATAGAAGCCTCTCGGAATGAGCTGCACAATCTTCTAGATAAGCCACAGTTACAAGGAATCCCTGTAAGTATTATTGTCTTACATCAGTATTAAACTTTCTTTAGAAATATACATAGTTTAGTGCATCTGAAGAGTGTCTTGACGTCTTTAAGTCCAGTGTAAGCACTGTAAGCAACACCTCTCCCTAGTGCCTTAGATACAATTGTTGACCTTGATCGTTCCTGCAGTGATAATATTTGCTCAGTACCCACAAAAAAAAAAAGTAGAGCAGTAATTTAGAGAACCATATTCTACCATATGGGTTTGTGCTCTTCTAGTTGCTATAGTGCCTGTTAATCAGATAGTACAGAAATACCACATAAGCTTGAGAAACTTCAGCTGAAAGTTTATTGGAATTGTTCACACATGCACAAAAAGGAAGCGTGAGAACACACCAGTTCACAAGAGTTTATTTGGACCCCCCCTCCCCCTTTTCCCTGTGACTAGATACATCTTCCCTCTTGACCTGGTTTACTATTAAATGTCTTAATCCCTTGGATTTAAGTCTAGTGTTGACTGCTTGTTGGACTCTCCTGAAACTTTTTTAAAAAAGAGGTGCAACTGTTTTCTTCTGATTTGGATTTCAGGTTCTAGTACTTGGAAACAAGAGAGACCTTCCTAACGCTTTGGATGAGAAACAACTAATTGAAAAGATGTAAGTCTAACCCTTCCTAAGAAAAGCTGTGTTACCTCAATAAAGGCATTGATGTACATAGGGATGTTAGATGAAAAACTTGCGTTTTAAGTAGAAAATGCAGCAACAAGTGGTAACTGAAACATCGTACAGAAACAAGTTACACTGAGAGGATGAAGTGGGAGCAGTTTAGATTCTCAGTGTAAGAGTACTCGTTATAAGGGGAGTGTGTGTTTAAATTTTGTCTCTTTTGTAGGAACCTTGCTGCTATTCAGGACAGAGAAATCTGCTGCTACTCAATTTCGTGCAAAGAGAAAGATAATATAGGTAACTATTAACCTAAAATGTTATGCATTATAAAGACCATCAGAATGGATTGAGGGATTGTGACTTCTTAAACATAAGCCTTCTTGCTTCAGGAAACTGGTAACAAATCCAACAGCAACGCTTAACTGCACTGGTTAAATGTGGTGTAACTCCTGATGGCAGTGAGGAAGCTTGACTGGTGTTAGTTTGTGAAGGGGCTGTAGTTAGCAAAGCATATCATAGCCTACTATGACACCTGCTGCCTTTAATTAGTTTGCAGGAAATACCTGACTAGTCTCACGATTAGCTTGCCCTAAATTTTATCCTTCTGGCCAGTGCTCTTCACTCGGCTTCACTTTTGAGGCTGTAGATGCTAGCAAGTCCTTGCAGCAAGTTTTTCCTCATCAGTCATTCTCATGAAATAATCGTCTTCCCTCTCTGGTTTATCTGAGATGTTCACGTAATGGCCTGTGCCAGTCACTACTCCAGGCAGCCAAATAATAGATTTTTCTGGTGCTGATGTCAATTGCTGTAAAATTTCTGGAATTTAAAGGCAGAAACCATGGTGCGAATTTAAAGGCAGAAACCATGGTGCTATGTAATTACAAATACTAGTGTCATGTACTTGTTATACTGAATAATCTCACACCTGCCATCCTTCTCCTGATGCCTTCATGTGCCTGCCAGGAGATTAACACTGGTTCACTGGCTGCCTAATGTGAATTTACTGATGAGGAAATCTTCAGTCTAGTGGTCACAGGAACAAGCTGCACAGGATACCAGAACTGCTTCGTATCAAGAACTTGACTTCTGACCAGGAAAAATGAACAGCCTGTGGAGCTCATACGATTTCTTATTCAAGAACCCCCTGTCACTTTGCCTTCAGTTAGAGATGCAAACAAGGGGATAGGAGAAGGGGATGCTCCCTTCTGTCATATTTCCCACACAAGGCTTACAGCAGAGATGAGCATCACTGATGCTGTAGGGAAGCTGTTGCTGCAAGCATTACGCTGATGTGATGTTTGCACATTTCAATTGCTTTCGAGAACCTCTTTCAAGCACGGAGAAGCTTGATGCCAACTAAGATTGCTTCCCTCAGGTGAGGATAGGCAGCACTCAGGCTGGCATAAACGTAGTGATGTTGATCTACAAGTGAGTGTGTGAGCGAGACCAAGGTATCAGATTAACGGAAGTCTCTTAGAAGTGTGGTTGACTGAGGAGCCTGGATGTCTGAGGCAGTTCCTTCAAATGTTGCCCACAGGACTCTGGGCGGTTATACCAGACAGCACAGACAGCAAGCCTTCAAAAAATGGTTCTGTTAATCCGCCTTGGACCAGCCTGTAGAGAAGGGCTGTCTACTCTTATGTACTTGAGGACGTGGGCATACCAAAGTGGTGCTGGTTATGCAAATACAAATCAACACTTGAATATGGAACTTCTCTTCTCTCTCTTCAGATATCACGCTTCAGTGGCTTATTCAGCATTCAAAATCTAGAAGAAGCTGAAGTCTTCCTGGAATCTCCAGTACCAGTTGGCCATAATCTCAATTGTCCACTTCCCTCCATAACGAGATATTACCCAAAAATCCTGTAATGAGAATCTGCCTTTTCACAGTTCATTTCTCATGTGCACTGCTGAAGACTTGTATTCCTATTATGTCACAAAACAACTAGAGTTGTCATAAAGTCAGCACAAATATTTATTTTACAACCATCTATGGTGGGAGGGTTGGGGGGGGCTTTTTAAAAAAAAAAAAGATCTCTACCATGTTAACTATGATGGTACACTGTTCTGGTTTTTCAGGGCCAGGTTTTTATATGATTTTCAGCAAGTGTTTTATTTCTAGTGTTTAGTGGCTTGAAGATGCTGACGCCTGACAGCATTGAAATTCTGTAAGATGCCACATACAGTAGTTAGAAAACATTTAAGCGTGAGTTGTGGGATACTAATCTCACAAATGCATGTGATGTGTGTATGTTAGCAGAGAAATGGAAACTGTTTGCAGAGGGGAGCACAAGACACAGATCAGCATCACTAATCTACAGCTGAGATCTTACCCTGTCACTTAAAAAAACAAACAAAACCAAACTCTTCTGATGAATTAGGGGAGCCGACTGTTTAAATTCATTTTGTTGCTTCTGTTTAACATTTGTCTGGGGGATAGGAATGGACTGTTCTGTTTAAGCTTTCAAAAATTGGAGTATTCCAGCATGAAAACAAATTGCTAGGAACATCAGACTTTGTCCAAACACATTTTTCTGTCTCCAGATACTAGTGATCTCTATCTGAAACCAGAATATACATTCTGAGCGGCTGCATGACACTTAAATTACTGATGTTTTTGTAGAGAGTCAGTCGTTGGCCTTTAGCACAATATCTGTGTAATTGTCTAGTGTCTCTCCTGCTCATGAAATAGCTGGGCACAGTTTCACCTGGTGCTATGAAACATCTCGGCTATTGTGACAACTCTAGACCTGCCTGCTTTCTTGATGTAACCATGTGCAAAGTCTGTAAGTTGCAAGATGAAATGTTCAACTGTGTCAAAGCACAAGAGAGCCAACGAATCGATCCTATTTCTTGACTAGCTTCTACAGTATAGGGAAGTATGTATAAACTAAAGATTGTAATGTTTTTGTAGCTTTACTTTCTCAATGACTTCAATATATTTAAAGGGACAGACTTGTTAAGACTGGTTTGTTCATACAGTAATGTCAGTGTAGCTTGCTAGTGTATACAAATACATGGTACACCTGCTTGTGTTGCCTCACACTGTGTGTGATTCTTCCTTACCTAACTGTGGAGTCTGCATTACTCTGGGGTCCTCGGTTGAAAACACTGTTTAGTCCATATCAGTTGTGACAAACCAGTTTTAATTTGGACTGCCATGGCCTTACTGTTCTGTACCAACTGTCGCACTGTTGCACAGACACTACATGCTGCCTGCATTCAGTCTGAACTTGCATTTAACTTTTTGTCCCCTTTCAGTTCTCTGAAGCATGATTTCAATTAATTCATACTCTGGTGCTGTAGAGGAGAGGGTGCATTAACTTGCTACTGTAGTCCCTAGTTCACCGTGAACTGCTACAGGTCCTTTTATTTAGCAAACTTGCTTGTGCCTAAAATATGGAAACTAAACTAGAATGTGTGGATCTTCGTGGGGGACCAGGTCACTGTTTAGTTAACTGGCCTATAGCTAAACTTGATGTGTTTGGTGTTTATATACTTCACTGCTTTCAGCATTAATGGCATCCAAACACTACCAATTGTTAACCTGTGCATTACTCTCTGCATGTGAACAACTTATACAATTACTGAACTTTGTAAATATGTGGATTTTTTATTTAGGTGGATGCATATGTTGGTTTACTGCTCTTCAGCTTTATTCAATAAACTTATGTTTTGAGGGTTGTATTGACACTTAACTGACTGACTTGAGTTGAGTGGCGTAACTCTTGGCGCTGCACTGGGGGCTGTCTGTCTCCTCTCTGATAAAATTAAAATGGGCGAAGAAGGCTGAGTATAAATACCTGAGCTGCTTTATGTTCTGTGGTTAAACTATTAAAGCGAAGTGCTCCTAAAACTAAAGCCATGGGACTTTCTCAGCAGAAAGAGCAGGTTTAGCTAGAGTCAGCCTCGGCAGTCCTCAGTGCTTTGTACGCCTAAGAAAGGCACTTACTAGTCAGCTGAAGGGCTGTGAGCAGGTCAGCCTTCTGGAGTTCCATTTCTGGGGAGAAAAATGCATGCATCTAAAAGCTTGTTCCTTGTCTTCACGCCTAGAGTAAAGTCCTTGCTTTTCTAGCTCAAATACCAGATCTAGCAGTGTCTGATCATTCGCTGCCAATTAAAGCATGGAGCTTTTCGTCTCACTGAAAGGGTGAGGCTTTCACTGACTGAGGTCTTAAACAAAATCCTTTCTTGTGATTATTTTTTCAATCTGAAACTATGCTGACTGTGGCTCCCAAACACTGATTTATTTATTTCTTAGGTGACTGACTGACCTGTAGGACCATATGTTAACATCTTCCAAGTAACGGTAACAAGTTAGATGTCTTCTATGCAGTCTGCCTCCATGTAAGCCTTCAAACTCCCTGAGCTGTAGCAGGTTAGTTCTTAGACCTGAGTATTGGTCGGTTAGCATCCTTCACATGTAACTAGGCTTGGGGGAAGGAGTAAGAACTGTTGAGTGAAACATCCTATGCCTATTTCTTCAGTTGACAGGAGTATCCTGCATGCAAACTTAGCTACCTGGAGCTAATATTCGAAGCAAAACTGCCTTGTGACAGCCTCAAAATGCTGTTACTGCTGTGTGTGTGATCTGTCACCCTGGCAGGTCGCTCAAATAAGCTGCAGTGTAAACTTGGCCAACAGCTGATTGCTTGAGGTGGTATTTAAATGGTCAGTTGCTACTTCTTAATAGCAAGGAAGACTGCACTGGCCACCTGTAATGTACATATTTCAAACTGTACGTTTGTGTTACTCACAAAGTGACTCTGCTTAAGTTTCCACAGCTATTTGTGTACTGTTCTTGCAGATGCCCATAGTTACTTACGTGGCAGAAATGTAGACCTCCAAGTGACTGTTTGAATCTAATGCTGAGGATTATGCTCTTTTTTTGTGAGCTCTCGATAAACTTGCCAGTTTACCTTCATTTTGAGATGGAATGGAAGTGTAGTAAGTCTTTCTAGAGAAGTGAGGCTGTCTCTCTCCACCTTTCTGCCTTGGACTGAAGGAACTGTGCTCTTCTGGCATGACTAAGTCCAAGGTTAAACCTTTTATGTTCTAAAAAAATAATAAAAAAAAAAAGGGAGAGCCTAAGGTATTGGTGGTGTTGTTGCTGAACTTGGTTGCTATAGTTGTGTTCTGCTTCTAGAAATCTGTCGGGTCAATCTAGTCTCTCAGATTACTCTACTCAGGCTCCGTAGTGAGCAAGCTCTCTTCTGATGTACCTGCAGTAGGCCTAGGCCATTACCATATTAAGAGAACTGAGTCTTGTGAAAAGGCAAATATTGAGCCAGAAATATTGGTCATGAATACGCATGTGATCATCACTGTGCACACAAGTTAGACATCAGTCATACCTGTGTGACCTTGTGGTGTGTTAGTCTTGTGTGGTGTTCTTAGGGTTTGCAGTAGCTGTCAGCTCCAAGTGCTTGTTGATTTTGTTCAGTGCTACGTGATCCCTTACTGATCGCAGCGCAGCGAGTCTCTAGGCTAGCCTGGGAAGAACAGACAGCACTGGGCTGTGTGCAGGTTTTCCTTGAGAAGTGTTCATGGCCCATCAATGTTGTGCGTGGCTGGTGGCTCCTTGCAGCGCAGCACAGTGCACATTGTCAGTGTGCGGCCGGGTGTCTTAGCAGCTGCACAGGCAATTCTGCCCTATCACAACATGGGAAATGCACACGTGGGGCGGTTTCGTGGTCTGTGGAACTGATAAGCTAGGTTCTTAGCAGTTTTTTGTTTTCTCTTCACTTCGTGGAAACGAGTTGGGAAGGCCGTCCTTTTCAGATGCTCAGATTAAAAAAACTGCGTTATTTTCACTTTCTGGTGGAAGAAAAGAGGCCAAAGGAAATGCCTTAAACAGTCTTTCTGGTTAAGTTAACGAGCGTCATGCAAGGGTCTACAATAAGAGAAGTATGACTTAGCTAGATTGTCAATTTTTAACTTTTCTAACGTTTAATTTTATAGTTACTCTGACTGTGCAATGGGTGTACTGGCATGTCACGATTTGCTTGGTGTGTGTTTAATGAATGTTAAAGAAATGCTCTTCTTCCCGGGTAGCATGCCTCAGCTCTGCTCCCTGCTGCCTTCTTCTTGCACTGACCCGTACGCCAGAGCGAGCTGTATGAGTCCTCGACAGGGGCTGTAAATCAGATAATTTAAGCTACCTTGCTCAGAGTGGCGTGCTGCCACGCACGTGGAATCAGTAAATCATGCTAAAGGAGAAGCGATGTGTGAATATTTAAGACTGGTAAATACTTCGGGACTTGTGTTCCAAAAATGTGAGTTCGGAATGACTTTTCTCATGAAACCATCAACCCGCTGAAAGCTGTTGCTTTAGGACTGCTCCGCGTGCCGACAGCCCAAATATGCCCTGGTGAGACCTCGGGGCCTTCTGTCTCGTGTCCCAGCTCAGGGGGCCGTACAGGAGGAGGGCGAGGCCGGGGGTTTGTGTCCCTCGCAGCGGAGGTGGGTAAGTAGAGCTTTGTGCCAGGATCAGTGCCTTCCAGTTGCGACATTACAGGTTTGACTCTGTTAGAGGCGACGTCTGTCATTGTGAACGTTTTGGAGTGCTTCAATAAAAGTGGTGTTGAAAACCCTTCTGTGGTGAGTTTGTCTGTGGGAGCACAGCTGCTTTTTGTGGTGGAAACAGGGACTGAATTAGGGAAAACATCGCGCTCTGGTGAGCTCTGGTGACCCCAGCAGCGCTGTCAGGGGTTTTGGGGAGGGCTCAGCAGGGAGGAGCCTTTTGGGGCTGGATGAGGAAATTTCACAATTTAAAGGCTGCCCTAACGTGGTGGGCGGGGCTGTAACGAGGCTTATTTCTTAACTAGACTCGGCTTTAAGCCGTGTTTCACAGCCTTCAGGCCACAACCCACGAGTTTTCAGCGAAAAAGCCCGAGACTTTTCAGCCAGGGGCGGTGCCGGGGCCGTGCCCGCCTCAGGGCGGCCCCGCGCGAGGCGCTGCGGGGCTGGGCCGGGCCCCGCCGCCCCTTCCGGGCCGTGCCACGCCAGCCCCCCCGCCCCGCCCCGCCCCGCCCCTTCACCCCCTCCACCCCTCCCCTTGTGACTGACACCACAACGCGCCTATCCGCGACCTCCTTTCCCCCCCTCCCCTCTCGCCCCAACCAATGAGCGCCGCGCGGGGCGGGCCTCCCCGCGCCCTTTCCCTTCCTCCCTTAAAGGCGCCGCCGCTCGGGCGTGTGTGCGTGGTGGGGGGGGGGCAGCGCGGGCCGGGCTGTGAAGGATGCTCGGGGCGGGGGGGGCACCATGCAATGGCGCTCGCTGCTGCTGGGGCTGCTGCTGCTGAGGCTGGGCCTGCAGGCGCTGCTGGCGCTGCTCCCCGCGCTGGCCCCGGGGCTCTGCCTGCGCCGCCGCCCGCCCTTCCCCTTCCCCTTCCCGCCGCGCGCCCCCGCGCCCGGCCGCGCGCTCTGGGTGCCGGCGGCGCTGCCCGGCGGCGGGGAGGGGGCGGCCGGGGGGGGGGAGGACGAGTATGAGGCGCGTTATGGCCGCGCCTTCCCCCCGCAGCTCCGCGCCCGCCTGCGCGACGCCGCCCGCCGCATGTTCGCCTTCGGGTACGACAGCTACATGAGGCACGCCTTCCCCAGCGACGAGCTCGACCCCCTGCACTGCTGCGGACGGGGGCCCGACCGCGACGACCCGTGAGGAGAGGGGAGAGGGGGGGGAGAGGGAGTGTGGGGGGGAACCCAAAACCCAAGCCCAACCCTAACCCAACCCCTCAGACGTCATAATCCCAAAGCCTGACCCCTCAAATCCCAAGTTCCTCGGTCCCAAACCCCAAGTCCCAAAGGCCTGGCCCCAAATCCCAAAGCCCGACCCCCAAAAGCCCAAGTTCCTCGGTCCCGAACCCCAAATCCCGAAGCCCGACCCCCCAAATCCCAAACTTCCCGGTCCCAGGGCCCTGGCTCCAAATCTCAATCTCCAAATGCCAAAGTCCCAGCCCCAAATCCCAGCTCCCTGGCCCTAAGTCCCAAATCCTGAACTGCAAATCTTAGAGCCGTGGCCCCATATCCTGAATCCCAATCCCCCAGAGCCCAAGCCGAGCCCTTCAGACCTCATAATCCCAAAGCCTGACCCCCCAAATCCCAAATTCCTCGGTCCTGAACCCTAAATCCCAAAGGCCTGGCCCCAAATCCCAAAGCCCGACCCCCCAAATCCCAAATTCCCCGGTCCCAAATCCCAGGGCCCTGGCTCCAAATCTCAACCCCCCAAATGCCAAAGTCCCAGCCCTGAATCCCAGCCCCCTGGCCCTAAATCCCAAATCCTAAACTGCAAATCCTAGAGCCACGGCCCCATATCCTGAATCACAATCCCCAAAATCCCAGACTTCTGGCCCCAAATCCCAATCCCTCAAACCCTAAAGTTCACACCTCCAAATCCCAGGCCCAAATCCCAGGCCCCTGGCCCTAAATCCCAAATCCTAAACCCCGAATCCCAGAGCCCTGGCCCCAGATCCCAAACCCCCAAAGCTGCAGTCCTAAATCCTGAATCCCAGAGCCCCAGCCCCAAATCCCAGCTCTCTGGCCTCAAATCCAAAATCCCAACCCCTCCCCTAAATCCCAGCCTACTGGCCCCAAATCCCAAACCTCAAATCCTGGAGCCCTGGCTCTAAATCCCAGCCCCAAATCCAAAATCCCAGAGCTCTGGCCCCAAATCCCAAAGCCCTGTCCCGAAATCCTCAAATTGCCAAAGTCTCAGCCCCAAAAATTGCATCCCCTGGCCCCAAATCCCACCCCGCTGACCCTGCCGAGCCCTGACGCAGAGCTGTGTTTATTTTCCAGCACAAACCTGAACATCAACGATGTGCTGGGCAACTACTCGCTGACACTGATAGATGCGCTGGACACCCTAGCGGTGAGTGGCCGGGGTGCTCCGGGTCCCCTTCCCGCTTTGGTTTTTGGATATAACGCACCCTGTCCCAAACAGAAATCAGCAATAAAAGGGTCATGGTGTCACGGGGAGGAGAGGTATCGGGCGCCCTGTCACCTGCAGGGAGACGCTAAAAGGGTTCTGTGAAATCCTCCCTGCCCTTTGGGTATCTACCGAGCCTTAAAATCATGAACAGCCAACCTCCAAAGTCAGTCCTTAAGGAAGGCTTTAACTGGCCCGACTTCAACAACCCTGCACGATACAGCCTCAGAATCACTGCCCAGCCTCTGAAATTCAATGAGAAGCTGAGGAAGGAAGTTCAGGAGGTCAGCGTGAGAGGCTGAGAGGAACAGACTGATTTTACAAATTAGTTTAAAGGTACATTAACGTAGCTAGGATGTAATGCCACAGAGTAATTATTTGGCTAATTAAAATTTAAAGGCCATGTCTTAACAGGATATGGCTGTGGATGTCTGGGAGGATGCAGTCAGTTGCACGAGGGGGTTGAGAGACCTGAGAAATGCCAGGTGCTCTGAAAGCACGGGGGTCGTTTGTTCTCTGATCATTAACTGGAAACGAGGCGAGGCAAGGGGAGGCTGTCACGTTTGTTGGTTTAATTTGGACGCAGGTGTGGGAAACCTAGAACCAAAACTTGGCACGGGGCTTCTTTTGGAAGGCTTGTGAAACTCCGGCCTCAGCTGCAGGACACTCGAGTTGAGGTAGGAGCATGGCTGCGAAGTAAACCTCTGTGAGGGGTGTTTTAGAACAGACTCTGGAAGAAAAAGGTAAAGGGGAAAACGGGCATCGGTTTCCTTGATGTCTTCTGGAAGATGGGTCACGCAAAGTTCACCAGCCCTGTTACAGAGCAATTCTGATGTCCTTTGCTCTGAGGTTGAACTTAGACCGCAGCAGAACAACACCAGAAAAAAAACACACACAAACCAAAACAAATACAAAAGAAAGCGAAACAACTGCACCCAAACCACAGCAGGAAGCACCCGATGCCTCTCACCTCGTCCAAAAAGCACCAAAAGCAAGCTGGTGGAGCCAAAGAAGAGGGGAGAATGTAAAGAAACTTGCTGAGAAATTGAAGGAAGGCAGCAATGGGAAGTGTTAAATGGGAGGGAGCTGGTCCGTGGGATGTCCCAAGGGCCTGCCACGGGACAGGCACTGTTTAGTCTTTGTGTTTTTAATGTAAAAATGCTGATGTTTCACGCTAAGTTGCTGACAGAAATACTTAACGTGAAGAGAAGGTGAAATGTTCGTGTGAGGAGTAAGGAAAACCTGTCAGGAGGTTCAGCAGCAGGAACTGGAAGCGCCTGGTGTGTGGTAGGTGCGAGGCTCAGCCCGTCCCTCCTGGGGTCCCTCCAGCTCGGGATGCTCTACGATCAAGAGAGATTTGAGAGAGCTCCAGAAGAGATGGAGGCAATTTCAGTGCTTTTCCCCAGCGCTCAGATGAGATCTGTGGAATACTCCTGTTGTGCTGGCGTTCAGGAAGGGTGGATCTGAACTGCTGTTCGTGTGGGTACTGAGATGGCGTGAGGAGAGTTTGTCTTACTCAGAAACGCTGCGGGAGCTCTGCTTGTGCTGCTGGGCTGGGAGGGCCTGATGGACGTGTAAATCCGCATGGAGTGTGGTGAAAGGAAACGGGGGAAAGGCAGTAAAGCTGCCAAAGTAACCTGTCACGTGCATTTCTGCTGAAATTTGACGATAAAGTGATAAGCAGCTGCATTTTATGTTAGCAGTACCAGTAGTGTGGCGTCGTGGAGAAGCTTCCCCTCCTTGAACTCCTTTCGCCGAGGGACCAGGGCCTGTCCACGCACAGGATCCCTAAAGCACTGCTCTCATCTGGAGGTGGTGGTGTGTGCGAGACGTCGGGTTATAAAATACATCCAGCTGCTGAAATGGGAGCTCCGCTCTGAGCGGGGCAGCAAGGAGCAGAACTGAAAGCAGGAAGTGAGGAAAATGTTGGTTTTAACTGAAGCAGCAGCTGGGGCTGTGAGTTGTGCTGGTTAAACTGCGCCTTCCTGTCCCCCTCCACCAGGGGCTGCGTCCTTTCTCTGCCTCTGGGGACATTGTATGACTTCTCCAATCTAAAACTTCTGGTTCCTGGAGTCTCTTCTGCTTCAGAAGCTTCTGTGGGGAGAAAGCTTTTTTGTTCTCCATCCCCTCAGGTCAAGCGTGTGAAGGTTTCCCACTAGGTCTGGGTGTTGGAAAGAGCAGGCTGGCTGGCACCGGTGCTCTGGTGGTTAGAGAGCCGTACACCCAGCCTTATCGTGCACTTATGCAAGGAATCTGTGCTCTCCTTCCGCATTCCTGCTTCCTCGAGGCTGGAGCTGAGTTTGCCTTGGTCTCTGGATCTGGTGGAGACTGGTTGTTGAGGTTGTTGTACACCTGGACAAACCTGGCACGCTTTGTCCTGGGCACAGCGTGCAGTGAGTGTTGTTGAGTCAAAAGCCTAAGACATTGGGTGCCCTGGTTGAGTAAATATCAAATCAGACTTTGTTGTTCTTCAGGTCGTGTTACCTTTAAGCTAAACTTAACTCTTAAGCTGATGGGTGTATAGCAAAGCAGGTGAATGTTCGGTACGCTGATCTTAAGAGATTTTAGGCTCATGGGCTAAGAGATCACCCACAATGGTGACGTTGGGTGAATGAGAGTGCATAGACTTGTGAAAAGGACAAAAATATATCGGGATTTCCCTGTTTT